AGAGGTGCTGTGGAAGCTGTGTGCTGGACACTGAGAGTGAGAATAATAAATACTGTAGTGTGTTGGCAGGAAGAGGCTGCAGGGTCATGGCAGTGCATGGCCAGTGGGCCGGGAGGTTAGGAGCAATGGCCTTCTGTGGGGAGGTTTTTTTTTTTTTTTTTTTTTTTGGTGGAACCGGGGATTGAACTCACAGCCTTGCGCTTGCCAGGGAAGCACTTATTCCACTGAGCCATCTCCCCGGCCCTGTGGGGAGGGTTTTATGGTGACTCATGATGCTGGGTTGTGAAGGTTGGGGGCTAGGATAAGTAACGAATATAAGTCACATTAGCAAGTAGGAAACATTTTAATTTTAGAGTATTAATTAGAGGTTATACATAAAAATGTAAGAATAGATAAGTGCTGTATGAGGTCTTCATATGATTTTTTTTTTTTTTCCCAAACCAGGGATTGAACTCAGGCCCTTGTACTTGCCAGGGAAGCGCTTATTCCACTGAGCCAACTCCCCAGCCCTTGTACTGTGCATTTGAAACATTGCTTGAGTGAGCTTCTCAATTGTGTGTGCTGTATTCAAAGTCATATTTACAACAGACTCATTAGATGAGCTACTGAGCATTTAAAAATAGCTGTTTAGAAACAGTGGTGTAGCAGATGGCTGCTGGTCTTCAACTGCATCAGTAGTGACTTGTGTGCCTTTGAATAAAATGGTAGTTGAAGTCACACCCTTTGATAGTCTCCAGGATTTCTTTTTTGGGCCAATTTGTGGTCTGCGCAAGGAGTGGAAGCAATTTACTAGGTTCTTTTTATATGGCAGTCTCTCATAAATGAGGTGGAAAATTTCTATTGATTTATCATTGGAAAGTGTTTTACTCACGAATGTTTGTCATTTGAAGCATTTAAAAATGTTACATATGGCTAACACTTTATATAGCTGGTATAATATTGGCAAATGTTTTGCAACTATGTTTTTGGTTATTACCAACCAGCAAGAACAAAAAGCTTTAATACCCAAATCTGTTCTCTTTAATGATGCTGTTTTCCTGTGACAAAAATTCAGTAGGTTTTAAAGAATAGAAACCTTATTTTTTCTTGCTACACATATTGCTATTTGCTTAAGATGAAGTTTTCACAAATTAATGAGACACGTAGGAAGATATTTTGAAATATTATCCAGAAATTTTATTTATTTTGTGTGTACGCACGTGTGTGCTTGTTGTTGGGGGAAGGGTTGAATCTAACAAGTGCATTTGTTTTTTAACTGAATTTATATAGAAAAACTTGTATTTAGATGGAACCTTTTAAGCAATATATTTTTTAAAACATTTCTTTTGATTTTCAGTTTTGAGTTCTTACTGTTTTTTTGGTGAGAGAGATAATAATTTTGGAAATTATACAGTGGGGTTCTTCCCTTAGTGTTCATTTTTTGTCTACCCATCTGTTCACTTCTCTCTTCATAGGCTGTGCTCTTTCTACAGAGTGTAATTTGTACATCAAACAGGCATGGGGAAATGCAATGTACACCTTTCTCAATATGTTAGATGTTCATGGGGGGAGTGGTATCTGTTTCTCTCTCTCTCTCTCTCTCTCTCTCTCTCTCTCTCTCTCTCTCTCTCTCTCTCATTTGGTACAGGGTCTCACTACGTAGCTTGGGCTCATAGTGATCCTCCTGTTTTTAGCCTCCCAAACGCTGGGATTACAGGTGCGCGCCACCATGTCCAATTTCATTTGCCTTTTCAGCGCCCTGGGGGGTGGGGCTGGCACAGCATACTGGGGATCAAACCCTGGCCTCTGCATGTTGCCTAAGCAGGCGCTTTAGTCCACTGAGCTACCTGGCCAGCCCTTAAGATTTATTTGTAAGTATGTTGTGGGTAGGAGTAGTTTTGATTCCTGAATGGAAAAGAACAAAAAGAATTGAAAAATGTTATCATTATACAGTCTGACTTTTTTGTTTTTAAAGGAAATTTTATGTTTTTTTGGTTTCTCCAGACAGTTTAGTATTACAGAAACATTTTTTTTTTTTAAATTGGACAGGTAGTGTTTTATTTGTATGTGATACATTAAAACTTTAAGTCAGGTGTGGTGGTGCATACCTATAATCTCAGCACTTTGGAGGCGAAGGATTGGTTGAGTTTGAGGCCAGCTTGAGTTGAACTGCATAGTGAAATCCTGTCTCAAGAAGACCAAAACCAAACCACAACATTGAAAAAGTTATTCTACTAAGATAGGCTTTATTTTCAGGATACTTTTGCATTTACAGAAAAAATGAATAAAAAATATGGTTTGTATCTAGGTGTACCCCAAAGCCTTATGTAGTCACTGGAGTGGGTGTCTAGATTTTGTGATTAATTCATGATCCAATGCTGGGTTTATGGGTGTGAGTGCTACACCCCAGATAGCCTGAGTGCAGTATAAGGAAGGGAGAGAGGCTTGCTTGCATCCTCTGCTGCTCCACCACTGCTCTTCCCTTCTGGGTCTTGCTGTCTTGCTGTCTTCTGCTGCCATGAACTGCTGCCCTGTTATGCCTTGGAGCCAGCCAAGTATGGACTGAAACCTCCATAATCTGTGAACTAAATAAACCTCTCCTTCGTTGCGTGTTTTTTTCCCAGCCACAGGGGAAAAGCGAGATAGAAAGTATAGTTTCTAGATGTTTCTTCATCCCCAGGCCCTTGGTTATTAGCACCTTACCATAGTGTCCTACTCTATCACTATTATTGAAGCAGCGTTGAGATACATGATTTATAACTACAATCTGTAATATTTTTTTTTCTTTTTCTTTTTCTTTTTAGTTTTTTCCAGAACCAGGGATTGAACTCAGGTCCTTGCGCTTGCCAGGGAAGCACTTATTCTACTGAGCCATCTCCCTGGCCCTGTAGTTTATATTAAGATTCACTCTGCATTATATGTTCCATGGACTTTGACAGATATTTGATGACATGTATACTTCATTATAATATTATATAGAAGTTTTATGTTTTATACATATCTTGTGTTCCACCTGTTTATTGTCTTCTTTTTTACCTCAAGCTACAGGTAACCACTGATGGTTTTTTTTTTTTCCATCCCCCCCCTCCCCCCAACCGGGGATTGAACTCAGGCACTTGCGCTTGCCAGGGAAGCGCATATTCCACTGAACCATCTCCCCGGCCCCCCCTTTTTAAATTTTTATTTATTTATTTATTTGTGTGTGTGTGTGTGTGTGTGTGGGCGGCTCAGCCCCACCAGGGGCGGGGCTGGCTGGCATGTGGTGCTGAGGGATTGAACCGCGGTCCCTGTGCTTTGCTAACCTTGTTTTAAGTAGATGCTTTAGACCACTGAGCCATCTCACCAGCCCAAAGTGTTTTTTTTTTTTTTTTTTTTTTTTGGTCAGAACCGGGGATTGAACTCAGACCCTTGTGCTTGCCAGGCAAGCACTTATTATACTGAGCCATCTCCTCAGCCCCCACTGATGTTTTTAATGTCTCTATAGTTATGTTTTTCTAGATGTCATGTAATTGGACTCAGGGAGATGTAATCTTTTCAGGTTGTCTTTTTTCTGTTAGTATTGTGTATGAAAGATTATTTCATGTTCCCCTTTCTTCCTTCTCCTGTGATACTGGAACTAAGGTTCTCAAACATAGGAGGCTGGTGCTGTAACATTGAGGAACATCCCCAGCCTCTCCCTCCCTCCTTCTTTCTTAAAATTTTTAAAATAACACCTCATTTGCCCAGGGTAGTCTTGTACCTGAGATCCTCATGGCTCAGCCTCCTGAGGAGCTGGAATTACAGGCATGTGCCATTGTCTCCACTCTTTCATGTCTCCTTGTGACATAATAGCCCACTCCTTGTTATTGCTGACACTGCTGGGTGGATGTTCTATAGTTTACTGTGTCCACTGACTTACTGAAGGACATTTTGGTTGCGTCCACATTTGGCTCATTATGAGTAGAATTGCTACAAACATTATGTGCAGGTTTTTGTGTGGAGATTTAAGTTTTAAGCTCTTTTAGGTAAATACCAGGGGATTTAATTGTTCTGTCACATGTAAGAGTTTGTTTAGTTTTCTGAGAAACTGTCATGCTGTCTTCCAAAGTGTCTGCACCATTTTGCATTTTCACTAGCAATGAATGTTTCTTGCTCCACGTCTTTGTAGCATTTGGTGTTGTGGATTTGAGCCCCTTTTAGCTGTTTAAAATCATTTTTATCTGACTACTTACTCATTTCTTGTCAGATGTGTTAGCAATTTTGATTTTTCTGTACTATTTACTTTTACTATTTTTTTTAAACATTTATTGTGTGTGTGTGTGTGTGTGTGTGTGTGTGGCCAGCTCAGCCCACCAGGGGGTGCGGCTGGCTGGCATGTGGTGCTGGGGGATCGAACTGCGGTCCCTGTGCTTTTCCAAGCTTGTTCCAAATAGGTGCTTTAGACTACTGAGCCATCTCTCCAGCCCCTGTACTATTTACTTTAGAGGAAATGAGAACCGTACATTTTGTGCATTATATGTGCCACATTCTCCATTCTGAGATGAGAATGAGAGAATATATAGTTATACATTTAAAAGAAATAATAAGATACTTTTTTTTTTTTTTTTGCTTTGAGTGCCTTCAGGGCAGGTTTGGCTGGCTTGAGTTCTGGGCATCAAACCACAGCAACCTGAGCCTGACTGCTTTGTTGGAGCAGCCACTTAAAGAACTGAGCTAAGAGGCAGGCCCTCCAAAGTTGATTTGCCTCTTCATCAAATACATCCTTTTTTTTTTTTTATTTTTCTTTTGGTGGAACCAGGGTTTGAACTCAGACCCTTGTGTTTGCCAGGCAAGCACTTATTCTACTGAGCCATCTCCCCAGCCCCAGTACCTCCCTTTCTGAAATAGAATCTTGCTATAATTGTCCAGATTGGCTTGACTCTGATCTTGCTTCAGCCTCCCAATTGCTGGGATTATAGGTGATGGCAGAATTTCTGGGTTTTGATCAAATAGTTTTAGTGAGAATAATTCTCTTGCAGTGATGTTAGATTAGGGTTCATGTAGTGCTCGCTTTGGCAGCACATATACTAAAATTGGAAAGATACAGAGATTAGCATGGCCCCTGCACAAGGTTATAGTTCATGTACAAATTGCTATTAATTTGTTATCAATTCCTGGTAGGTATAATTTTCTTCCAGTTTTTCTGTATTTTTCAAAAAATTTCCTAGTATAAAAGAAGACACTGTACTTTTTTTAAACTTTATTTTTTAATGTATTGCAGGGCCTCACTACACAGCTGAGACTCATGGTGATCCACCTGGTTTCAGCCTCCCTAGCACTGGGATTATAGGCATGTACCACCATACTTGGAATCTGGCTTGCTCATCCTGCCCTGGGGATGGTGGCCTGTGATGCTGGGGATCAAAGCATGGTCCCTGTGCTTGCCTAAGCTTGCCTATGGTGGTGCTTTAGTCGGCTGAGCTATGTCACCGGCCCCATGAACTTAAATTTTTAAGGCTACTAAGGCTACTAAGGTCTTTGTTGGCTAGGTATACATAGATATTAAAAAAAAAAAAAAAAACAACCCTCTATTTTCTTTTTTTTTAGAACCATTTGTTTGAATGAACAAGGGATTCACAAATGAGCAAGATATCTTGTCTGTGACGTTTATAGTTTGTCTAATTATAATAGCAGTAGCTATTACGTATGTCTAAGAGGAGGTTAGAACCATGTCCTGACTGTGAATTTAGAATGTTTTGACTTTTATGTACTAGCTACTCATTGAAACTTAACACCAGAGGTACTGTGCTCTATTAGTTCCCAAAAACTGTGGTATGGAGATGGTTTGGATAGGCTCTCCTGATGGTTATGTGGTTCATTAATTCCTGCCAGGGATTTTTAGACTCATAGTGATCTTCCTGTTTCAGTCTTCCCAGTGCTGGGTTTACACATGTGAGCCACCATGCCCAGGGGAGGGGCCTGGACCCCACTGTGGGGCGTGTGGTGTGGTCTTAATTTTATCAAGGATTCCTTGTGAGTATTGTATGCCATGATCTTTCCCCTAGAGTCTGCAATTGAGGGGCACAGAGGCACAGTACTCAATGGCAGTTGAAACACCTGCCGCCCCTTTGCGGCCCTATCATTAAGAACCACTATTCATGTAAGCCTTGGGCCGGGGAGATGGCTCAGTAGAATAAGCGCTTGCCTGGCAAGCGCAGAGGCCTGAGTTCAATCCCTGGTTCCGCCAAAAAACCAAAACAACAACAACAAAAACAACAAAGTAAGCCCTGAGTCTCAGTGAGTTAGTAGGGAGGTGGTTAAGTTCTGCATTGGGCTTGTTGGATTGTACTGCTCAGTGGTCATGGCTTGTGTAGAGCCTTGGTGACATGCTTGTACGTACTGCTGTTATGCAAGTGTGCTGCGTGCCTTGTTGGACTTTTCTTTTCCTGAGGCTCTGGAGGAGAAACTTTGCTCAGCTCTTGGTGCTGGGAGAAACTCACCTCCCGGAGCATGTGGTTTGTTTTAAACTTAAAGATTTAGAGTCTTGCAACTGATCACATTTCCTTTGCTTCTTTTAATTACTAGCTTGTAAAATTTTGGCCACACCCAACACAAAGTATAAAATGAATGTGATAGTTCATACACTTTATGAACTACTTCATTCATAGTTTCATCTTTGCTGTATAATTTCCTTGTATCCCAAGAAAAGAGAAGTACAATATGGTAAGGAGGAGAGGCTTTGTAGCCTGTGTGACCCGACGAAAACCATGTGTACTCAGGATCCTCTTCTGGAAATTGTTGTTCCCTCTTGTGGCCTTACTGAGAGACTACAGTAGAAGCTCTTAGAGCTGTACCTGGTACAGGTGAATGTTGAATAGACTCAGCTATTGTTGTCATCCTTGTACTCTTTATTTTATTCTTTTGTGGCGGAACCAGGGATTGAACTCAGGCCCTTGCGCTGATTAGATAAGTGTAAAATTTCCTCGAAGTACCATAATCGTAAGAAATGTGATACTATCTTATTTAGTACCCAAGATATTTTTACCCTTTCATTTTGGTTGAGATACTGGTTTGGAGTTACTTGTAACTTTATATCAAAGAAGATTGCTGTTCATTTTAGTCAAGGTGATTTGAAGCCCTTTTTTCAACTAGATGTAACTTGGAATGTAAGGAGGTAGAAACGGGCCAGATGTGGTGGTGCACAGTGGGAGGCTGAGGAGCGCAAGTTTTGAGTTCTGCTGGGGTAACTTAGACCCCTTTTCAAAATAGAAATGGGAGAGAGAGCAAGCTGAGCACCTTTCTCCTACCAAGGGGGGGAAAATTAGTTTTTCTTTTTAAAAGCAGTTAATAGAGGGAAAAACTTATAACCCAAATATCAAACTCTGTCTTTCATTCTGAAAGAATTCAGGATCTCTGCCAAGTTTATAAGCCATTAGAGCATACTATACTGTTTATTCTCCACATCCCAGTGACACTTTAAAAAAAAATTCATGATACCTTATAAATTATTTAAGATTAAAATCTTATTTGAAAAGCTTTTTGAAATAAACTACTCATAAAAATTCATTCTCAAAATGTACATACTAGTGATTTTTTAGTACATCTACAGAGTTGGGCAAGCACCATAATACTGTGAGTAGATTTTTATATTGCAGTATCTTGCAGTTAAATGAATGCTCTCAGATGACCTGTCTATACAGATTTGTACTTGTATGACTAAGAATCTGGCTAAAGTAGTGCTTTACTATTTCAGTAAATAATTTGCCTAAAACCTTCAAACCTAGTTTTTATTTAGAGTGGTTTGACATAAGGGAATCAATTCCAGCCTAAGATTATTAAAGCCTTCAGTGACTGATAACTCCCTTCGAGGTATAAATATTGTGAAAATGGGGTACAGTCTTCTTTAGCGTATTATCTAGAGGAACTGCAGCTTCCCCCTAGCATTTTGTATACATTTGGTTTACTCCAAATATGGGAGACACTTGTTATGAGAAAGGCAGTTCAGCCTTTGTTTCTCATCAGGAGAGTTTCTGTGTTGATTCTCTGTTGATTTATAAAATTCAAGAGTGACCATAAGTCTGCTGCGCAGTCAAACTTTATTTTCCTAGTCCATTTACTTGCCCAGTTTCTTTGGTGATTTTACTTTCTTGTTTTCCTTGCTGGGCCTCCTGTTCAAGTGGAAATATGAAAGCAGGCCAAAACAGCTTCAAGTCCTACCTCACCTTACAGCAGACTCTGTCTTCTCAGCTGCTTGTATACAGACAGAGATTTTCCAGGCACCACCCACTGATATAACTTGTTTCTTTTTTCCCCATTCCCCTATCTTCCCTACAACCCCTTCTCCCCTATGTTTGTTATTGAAAATTAGAAAAAATCTTTTTTTTTCCTGTAAAGCTCTATTCCGGTGGGGCTCAGTCCTTCTTGGCAGCTGCCTTCCTCATGGCGGCCAGCACGTTGCTCGGCTCCTCACGCTTCCTCTTGGCGCGGATGTGCATCCCCACCCTTTTCTTGATGAACTTGAGGGCGCGCTTGTCCTTGGAGACCTTGAGCAGCTCCATGGCGGGCCGCTCGTAGGGGGCGAAGCCGCACACCTCCCGGATCACGTCCTGCAGGAACTTGGTGTGTTTGGTCAGGCGTCCGCGACGACAGCTGTGCCTCAGTTTGCGCACATTCTTAGTCACCTTGTGGCCCTTGTTGGGGCCCACGGCCATGGGATAGTGGAAGGCCATGGCTGTTATTCTTCGATGATTGCTGTGGCGGAAGCTGAAAATTTATTTTAAAATTTTTTGTTCACTATGGATTTAGCAAATAGTTTTATTTTATTTTATTGTTTTAGGTAAGAGTCTACAGGGTGTTCAGGGTCTCACTACTAGATCAGATGCCCGTTTGAAGCCTCCCAAGAGCTGGGATTAACGCCACTATGCCCAGTCTCAATTGCCGGGGTTGGGGCCAGCTCCCCATTCCCGAGGATTAAACCCTGGTGCCTGTAGGTGCTTTAATCTGCTGAGCTGTTTGGTTGGCCCTAAATAATTTTATTTAAAAAGCCTTTTTAAGTGTAGTAGAAAAGACTGAATCAAGAAATGTATAGGGGCTGGTGAGATGGCTCAGTGTTCTAAAGCACCTACTTAGAACAAGCTTAGTAAAGCTCAGGGACCGCAGTTCAATCCCCCAGCACCACATGCCAGCCAGTCCCGCCCCCTGGTGGGCTGAGCTGCCCCCCCCAAACAAACAAATAAAATTTTTTTAAAAAAAGGAAAGTAAAAGTTCCTCTCTGTGTTAAGGTCAAATTAACCCTCTTGAAATCCAAACTTAATATGTAGAGTTTCTGAATATCTCCTCCAGAAATGCTCAGCAGGCCCCATAGCTTCAGAAGGGTTGATGTAGCTTTCTTTATAGTGGGTAGTAAGTTTACTGTCTGCTTAATATGTATCAGTAAGTTATAAAGTTTCATTTGTTTTACTTGCCCATGAAACACTAAGTATCTTATGCTTATAAATTAATGTATGTTAATAGTTTACAGTCCAGTATGTGGATACTGTAAGCAGCCCTGTTGGATGGGAAAAATACATTTAATTTAGTACTAGATTACAAAGATCAAAGGAATTTGTAATGATACTTGTCTTTTTTTGGAACTAGGCAACAGAACAATCTTGTTTTGCTTGCTTGGTTGCTTGCTTGGTTGCAAAGGTCCTGCTGTATAAATCAGGCTGGTCCTGAACTCTCTTTGTAGCCCAGGCTGGCCTTGAACTTGGAGTGATCCTCCTCTCAGTCTCCCGAGCACTGGGTTACAGGTGGGTGTCACCACTCCCAACCAGTTTTATGTGTGCTGGTATTGTAGAGGAAATTGGAGCGACCTGACCATGCCAAGATAATGTCGTTGTTCCGTGAAAAACTTGGTTGGTATTTTGTAGATAGGCATGGAGGGAACAACTGATATGAAATAAATTTTTACTTTTGAAGTATTAAAACTTTCCTTATGCATCTAAGTGGTTTAAAGTAGGACCTGTCTGTGATAGTCATTTGTACAAGATCATTATGGGTAGAGCTGTGATAACTTGGACTTAATTTTTCTTTTGGTACCAGGAATTGAACTCTTGGCCTCATGCTTGCAGGGCAGGTGCTGTGCCACTGAGCTACATCCCCGTCCATGATGGATTAAGATGGA